GACCCTACTGGACAGGACGGTGTGCACCACGCAGGGACCGTGTGCAGTGATCTCAGCCGCTCCCCACGACCCTACTGGACAGGACAGTGGCCCAGGCTGTTGATGAAGGCAGTGGAGCTCTGACACTGGTTAGTTTTGCTGGGTCTCCACGGCCATCCCAACCAGCTGGGTCAGAGCCACAGACTCAAGACCACAGGAGGTGGCTTGCCCTAACCAAATTTTGTAATTACACACTGGTATACGTCATAATTGTGTTGTTGTCATTACTTGCCATTGAGACAATTTCAACTCACAGCGACCCCATGTGACAGAGTAGAACTGCCCCATAGTGTCGTCTTGGCTGTGAAATTTACAGGAGCAGACCGCCAGTCTTTCTCCTGAGGGGCTGTTAGGTGGGTTCGAACCACCAACCTTCGGGTTAGCAGCTGAGGGCTTAACCGTTGTGCCGCTAGGGTTCCTCATACCATCATTACTGAGTTCAATAATTTATTTCTTTTAAAATGTATCTTCAATGACCAGTTTATCTTTCTTCTTTTCTTTACATACAATTTATCATGTCTCACCTAGGGATGCAGTATGGACCACACCCCATTAACTATTTCGTGGAACACTCCTGAAAAGATCTGCCTATTCTAAGATGTCACCATTCAACAACACTCAAAACAGCATACCTTTCCACCGTCACTTTCTTTGATAACCATGTAGGGCTCCACACAGTCTCCAATCTCTCCCTGCTGAAGGACTTTTTCAATCTGCCAACAAAAATAATGTTAAAACAAAGGCATGCGTTACATCTACACCATGGAATCTATGCAACCATCAACACGATGTCTTATGACACCATTTGACAACATGGGAAGATACTTATGACAGGTTTTTTGATTAAAACATAATTAGTATGAAGACTATCATCCAGTTTTGTTAAAAAAAATAATCCTCAAGGCTTATGAGAAGGGTCACAGTAGACACATGCCAAATGTTAACAGCTGATGTCTTTTACGGCAGGACTTTAGGTGATTTTTATTTTCTTCCTATCGCTAATGTCTATTTTCTATTTTTAAACAATAAACTTGTATTATGTCTACAATAAAAATGCGATAAAAGTTACTTTATAAAGCAAAGCACAGGAGACATATGTTGGAAGTGAGAAGCTCATTTTCTTGATTATTGCTTACAATGTAAAAAAGAGATACAGCCTCTCTAAAAGTCGGGTTGGGGACTTGAACCTTCCACAAAATGAACAAATGAACAGAATAAATTATCTGCCTAATTATCTCCCTTGTATTTCCTATTAGGGCTCCTTCTCTTGGATTTAACAGACCAGGAAGGAAACACAAACGCGGAAGGATCATTCAGCTTCTCTCTTTGCTAACTGGTTGACAACATGAGTAAGTGCTATAAAAACTCAAGTATTTACACTACCATGCAATAAGTACTCAACGGTCTTCTTCTACTTTGCTTCAGGTAAAGGACCTGCCTGGCCAACTGTCACAAAGGTTGGGCACCATGTTTAGAACAAAGAAAAGGAGGATGAAATTTCCTAACCCTCCGCTCAAAGAAAATTCAACAAGCGCAGTCAGCTCCATTAGCTGTGTGTCATTAGTTGAGATGGTTCTCCACGAAGAAACATGGGTCAATAGATGCCCACAGGAGAGGGCTGTTAATTAGGCACAAAGAATTTAAATCAGAAATAGCTTCCTGATGGAGGGACATTTAATGGCGCGTCTAAGGAGGGAGCATGGGGCTACTCAGTGGACATCGACTTCTGGGAGGACTCCAGAAGGAAGGATCTCCTCACAACAGAGCATGGGGCTACTCAGTGGACATC